CCAGAAACCAACCAACCAATTATCAATTAACAAGCAAAAACCAACCAACCAATCACCAACAAACGACCAACTAATTATCAAATAACAACCAACAACCGACCGACCACACACACGCTCTCTCAACTGACCTTTTGACCTTTGAGAATGTGGTACCAGACCGAGGTACCTCCCATGTCAATATGGAAGTCCGTGTAGCAGCCTTGCACACTCATCAGGCAGTATCTTTTGAGGTAATTTAAAAAAACGAATAAATATAATAATTAATTAATTAATTAGTTAGATAATTAATTAATAGGTTAAAAGGTTAAAAATGTGTGTTAAGGATGGGGTTTTGTGGAGGTCGATGGTCGCCAATGTCCTGAAAGGATAAGGCGCGAGAAAGAAGAAGAATCAATAGATAGATTAATTAATTAATTAATTAATAGATTATTAATTAATTGACTAATGACGTTTCTATTCATTCATTCCAAAAAATCATTTATTTTAAATTTTTATTTTAAATTTAAACAATTCTAGTTAAAAGGCGACTGAAAGTGGGAGGAATCATTTTTCACTTTCGGCTGTCTTACTGGGATAATTATTTTAAAAAAAGAAGGCAACGAATGAGCAATGAAATGGATCAAAAACTGCAAACAATAAACTAGAAACAGGTTGGAATAGGACGAAAGAATTGTTTAAAAAAATTTATTTTAAATTTTAAAAAATTAAAAAAATTATTTAAAAAGAAGACAACGAATGAACAATAAAATGAATAAGTTTTAAGACCAAGATCCAAACGACATTTCGACCAAAACAGCGACGGTGTACTTGGACGACGTTGAACAGTTAATGAGGCTGTCACAAAATACGCCTGACCAACAACTTCACGTTGTTCAGTGATAAATTTAAAAAAATCAATCAAAACCCGAAGGTCAGACTTCAAATGAGGTACCAGTTTAAATTGAATTTAAAGTTCTCAATTGAATTACTAGGCTGATTATTTGAATACTTGGTCATTTTGTATTCTCTCGAATTGAGGGCGGTGGTCTTGAGGCAGACAGTTGCCGGCAACACTTCAACCATGTCGTCACGACTCAAAGAGATGCCACCGTGGTTGAAAAAATTCATCCGTCTATGTTTTTTTGGCAAAAACAAAGACATCAGGAAATAAGTTGTAAGACATCAGGATCAATTTTTCTAACATTCTAGATAAAATTTTGCTGTGCCATGTGTAAATCTCCCCAGAGCTAGTTAGTCAGAAGACTCTCCCCATCTGTGTCGGTTGGCATCTGGCGACCGCTGCTGGATCAGACATTTTCCAACGAATTTAAATAGGACCTCTAGAAGGCATGTGACGTATAGTGACTAGTGACGGTCAGTGGCCGGTCTAGGGGGGCGTGTAGGGCAGTACTCCTCCGTTGGGGCATGTAGAGCAGTGCCTCCCGTCGTGAGCAGTGTCGTTATTATTTATTTATTTATTAATTATTATAAGGTTTGGGCACAAGCCCTTTGCCCCAACTGAAAAATTATAACAATATAGAAAGATTTCAAAAATAAAAATAAAACAACCAGATTACAACAGAATATAACAATATGGAAAGAACTAGGATACAATATTAAGATACGAATTGTTGTTCAATTTACAAATTGTTGTTCAATTACAAATTGTTGTTCAATTATAAGTCAATATCACTCAGATTTTATTTAGACGGGAATATTTATCATTTTGAGTTTGTAGACACGAATATGAATGGCTTTATGAACTACGAAAATTATTTTTTGGAATCTGGTGCTGTGAACGCTGATATAGTAAATTAAGCTGGTAGTTTGCTACTAGATTCATGCAGTACTTAACTTTCTGAGCGTTGTTGAAACTCAGAAGTTTTTTTTTTTCATTAACGGGTTAAGGTAGAGGTTGAAAAGCAACAAGGGAGAGAAGAGCGCTTAACTTCACTGCTTCATTTGACTAGAGTGGGAGGAGTCAGTTGATCGCAACCGAAAACTGACATTGTGTAGTGGGTGTATATTTATTTTACTAAACTTGAAATCTGAGATGGAATATGACGATGGTCTGAGATGGAATATGATGATGGTCTGAGGTGGAATAATAGCAATAACCTCAACAGCTACAGCGATAATGGTAACAATAAACTACGACGATATTTGACCTACTTTTGAACCTTTGGATATTTCATCGTGGCGAGCTGATTGGTCGCAGACGTCTGCAGCTCCCTGAGGTAGGCGGGCCAAGCCAGGTCCACCCAGTCCATACAGTGCACCTTAATTATAATAATAATCATAATAATGGAAGCTTATCTTTACATACATATATATACATATATACACATATATATATATATACATGAACATATATATATACAAATACACACACATGTATATATATATATACATACATACATGTATACACATGTTCTATAAATTCTACCGAATGTTTGGCGTCAATATGTTTGTAGTTCGTTTTTTCGATTTTTCTCACGAAATTTTTTGGAGAACGTTTAGTTTATTAAAATTCAAAATAAACTTAATTTCCGAATTCATGCCGCAAATAAGGCCATATTTCGATTCCGATGATTCACTGAATATTTCCCTATATAAATTAAATTTGCACTGATGATTCATCGACCTCCACAAAACCCGATCTTTAACACACATTCGGTAGAATTTATAGAATATTGTAAAAATTATGGTCTATTACCAACATATACACATGTATATACAAATATACATATATATATATATATATATTCATATATATAGCACATATATACAACACATATATATACATATATACGTTCATATTGTTATTATTGTTAAATAGATAACCAATTTGTTGTGAATAACCAATTTATTGAGAGTTTATTTTTATTATTTATTTATTATTTACAAATTTTATTAACCACAAAAAATGGGTTGGAGACCATACAAGCTTATTAAGCTTTATAGGCCACCAAAAAGAAAAAACAGAAACAATTTCAAAAATTATCAAGCGCATATAACTTAATTTGTTCGTACAACTGTTTGACACAAAAGCATAGCACACTGCACATAAAGTAAACGTTCGTAATATATATATATATATATATATATATATATATATATATATATATATATGTGTGTGTGTGTGTGTGTGTGTGTATTATTCGGCCCCACAATAATATAATTACCAACACAATGATGCAACCTTGATATAAGATTTAACAATTTGGCATTACCTAGATCGTACTCTACAAAATTTTTAGGAGTGCTAATGTAATGAGAATCTTTTCCTGGGAACCACATATAAAATCAATTTCAACTAAGATCAATAAAATATTAGGTATTTTATATAAAATTAGATCTAAAACAAACTACGACATCACGATTGAACTTTACTATACCCCGATATATCCACATTTAAATTATTACAATCTTTTATGGGGCGGAAGTCAGAAAACCGTCTAAATTATCTTCAAAAATGCCAAAACCGGTTCATAAGACTAATTAATATTTACCCTTTCACTGTGTACTCACATAACCAAGGCTTATTATTCGTCACTCAACATTTTACCCATTAAAGAATTACACATTTACTTCAAATCAATTTTTGTATTTAAATTTTTACGTCAACAGCAGTTTAATTATTTTACCAATTTTTTCACTTTTAGCAACGACATTCAAACGAAATTCACCAGACACACCCCTCTTTCCTATTCTCATACTGTGAGATTGAAAGTTTCCCATCCAAGCACCAAACATGGGTATGGGATAGGATGGGATATGTGTTTGGGATACTACATGAAATTCAAGCTATTAACTCATTATACTTGGTGCATGGCCAAATGTCTTTATTTATGTGTCTATTTATACATATGTCTTTATTTATGTGTCTATTTATACGAGTGTGCCAGTCAGAGCATGTTTATGTGTGTTTTGTATGATATTACTGTGACTGGAGTCGTTTTTGTTAGGTATGATATGATTACGTTGTTAATAAATAAGTAACTGGTGACCGTTACAGGAAAAATTCATTTTTGGTTTCCAGATAAATTTCATTTCATTGATACTGTTTTCTTTGATTTGATGAAATTTAAAAAAAATGTTAAATGCTACTTATTTAAAAACAAGTAAAAAACTTTTCTTAGTTAGAAAAAGCACATATTTTAAATAATTCTACACTATTAATAATTTTAATATTCTTGGTGAGCGAATTTTCAATCTCAGCTGTGATTATATTGTTACCATTTGGTATAGGAAACATAACAGTATTATGATATATAAATAATAGTATGATGTATGTGTGTGTGTGAGCGTGTGTGTGTGTGTGAGCGTGAGTTAATGTGTATGTATTTATCTGACATTTCTGTTACATATATAATTGGAATTTTGATTTTATATAATTTTAATACTACTGCTGCTCTACTACTACTACTGCTACTACTACTACTACTACTACTACCACTACCACTACATTTAATAATAATATAAACAAATTAAAAATTATTTGCACACCAGATCCGATTTTGAAGAAGAAAAAAAACATAAACCAAAAAAAAACAAAAAAAAATGTCACTTACTATTAATACTACTACTATTACGGTATTACTATTACTGCTACAGCTGCTACTACTACCACTACTATCGCTACTAATACTACAACAACTCTTACTACTACAACTTTTTTTTACTACAACAACTATTTTTACTACACAACTGCACTAACCACACTAGGCTGATCGACGTAGTGCTCCAATTTGGTGTGACTGAACTCCAGACTGATGACATTGAGGAGTCGATCCCGCCTCGAGGGCTCCGACTCGTAGTACGACGTCCACTCCTTCATAGACATTTCCAGATCTTTCTGCGTTCTCACGTCCATTACATCAACTGTACGCCATGAACCTGTGTTTGTATGTGTGTGTGTGTATGTCTGTGTGGGTGTATGTATGTTGTGTTTGTATGTTGTGTATGTATGTTGTGTATGTATGTGTGGGTGTATGTATGTTGTGTATGTATGTATGGGTGTATGTATGTTGTGTATGTATGTGTGGGTGTATGTATGTTGTGTATGTATGTGTGGGTGTATGTATGTTGTGTATGTATGTGTGGGTGTATGTATGTTGTGTATGTATGTTGTGTATGTATGTATGGGTGTATGTATGTTGTGTATGTATGTATGGGTGTATGTATGGGTGTATGTATGTTGTGTATGTATGTATGGGTGTATGTATGTTATGTATGTATGTGTGTGTGGGTGTATGTATGTTGTGTATGTATGTGTGGGTAGGTGTATGTATGTGTAAGTATGTGTGGGTAGGTGTATGTATGCGGGTTTTTGTGGTTTAGTTTGTATGTGTGTTTGTGTTTTTTTTATGTATGCGAGGGTAGGTAGGTGTATGTATGTGTGGGTAGGTGTATGTATGTGTGGGTAGGTGTATGTATGTGTGCTTTTGTGGGTGCATGTATGTGTGTTTGTGTATGTATGTGTGTTTGTGTACGTCTGTGTGGGTGTATGTATGTGTGTTTGTGTATGTATGTGTATGGATGTGTATGTACGTGTGGGTGTATGTACGTGTGGGTGTAAGTATGTGTATGTAGGCGTGTTTTGGTGTGCATGTTGTGTGCGTGTGTTTGTGCGCGTGTGTGAATGTATGTATGTACATATGCCAACTTTTCTCCCCCACTAATAAGTTTAATAGTTCACAGTCACTTTTGTCTTCAAGCAACTGTCCAAGCTGCCTCCCCCAATGTTTGACGAGTATTCTAAAATGGCCAACAACCCAAGACGTGTCAATCATCTGATGACCGACAACTCAAAGACAGATTTGTTGCAATATTTTAAATTAAATTATTATCTAATGCATGGATATATATCCGTATATTTAGTTATTTTTATTTATTTCTTCAAAAACACAAAAAGTAAACAGAAAGATACTTGTAATAGTGCCTTAACTAAAAATTGTCAAAAATATTTCGATGAGAAAACTAAAATGACCAAACTTTTGCAAGACACATTGCATAGTTACACAAATATATATATATATATAAATTATATAAATATATATAAAACATTATTCTAAGTTATGGTAGTAGATGACAATTATATATATATATATATATATATATATATATATATATATATATATATATACATTGATCTAATATGATATATAATATATTTTTACAAAAAGTTAACGATTTGTTGACAGATCTGTTGCATTTTCATGCTGTCTGCATAGGAAGGAGGATTTGGAATGACATTTTTGAAAAATTACTTTTCTTACAGTGAAACATCGCTTGCTATGTTCAAAGAAGAATTCAATAAACTTTTGTTAAACTTTAAGGAATATGAAGAATGTGTAAAGAAAAGAGAGAGATACTGTTTTATTTAACTCAAATTTCTCATTACTTTTTGTTTGACGTACGTTAATTTGTGTACATTCATTCATTTATTCATTCATACATTCATTCATTCATACATTCATTCATTCATTCATTCATTCATTCATTCATTCATTTAATATTGGTAATGGCTCTTCGATATATATTTTAAATACATGAAAGAATAAATAAAGTTTTCAAAAACTGAAGTGTAAAAAATCATTTCTAATAACAATAAGCAAGAAGAAAAATTTACATTTAATATTAATTCATTAACTCAATCAGTCATTGAGTGGCTGTGCTAGATGAGCTCTTTATCACAGTCATCCTAGCTTTATTTTTTTTTTGGAGTGAATAAAAGATGGTATCCAGTATGGTATCATATAGTATAAATGTATGTGTGTTTTTGTTGTGTGCGTGTGTGTGTGTGTAATGTGCACATCTGTGTGTGTGTGTTTGTAGAAAAGGCAGGTTTATAAGTTGTGTGCATTTGTAGCATGTGTTCTGTTGGTTTGTAGCATGTAGTAGTAGTAGTAGTAGTAGTAGTAGTAGTAGCAGCAGCAGCAGCAGCAGTAGTAGTAGTAGTAGTAGCAGTAGTGTTTGTTGTGTGTGCGTGTACAAGTTTCCTTTTTTTATATTTAATCATTCTGTCATTCATTTGTTAGTTCATTTATCAAATAATTCATTCATTCATTGGTTTAGTTTTATTCATTTACTTAATTATTCGATCAATCAATCAATCAATCAATCAATCAACCAACCAAACATCTACTTATTCTATCAACATAAATAATAAATGTATTCATTCAACTATCAAATCCTTAAACAATTAATTTATCCTTTCATTCATTCATTCATTTATTCATTCATTCATTCATTCATTCATTCATTCATTCATTCATTTATTCATTCATTCCATCAGTCATTCGTTCACTCCTTCATCCATTCATGCTAAACTTACCAACACACTTTTTCACATCACTAACTGTGAAATTCTCACTGGGCATCCTGAATAAATGAATGAATGAATGATTGATTGAATGAGTGAATAAATGAATGAATGAATGAATGAATGAATGAATGAATAGATGTTGAATGAATAAACAAACTAATCATCAATTCATTCAGCCATCTAGTCAGCTACGGAACCAACCAATCTACAACCAACCAAAAAAACAACCAATAAATCAATTAATCAACCAACCCACCAATCAATCAGCCAGCCAGCCAATCAACCAGCCAATCAACCAGCCAATCAACCAACCAACCAGCCAATCAACCAACCAACCAACCAACCAGCCAGCCAATCAATCAATCAATCAATCAATCAATCAATCAATCAATCAATCAATCAATCAATCAATCAATCAATCAATCAATCAATCAATCAGTCAATCAATCAGTCAATCAATCAACCAACCAACCAACCAATCAATCAATCAGCCAACCTCAATCCAAGACCAGCTTTATCCTTAACCAAGATAGGAGTGTCAAATCCATTAGTCTGAAAGTAGGTCAGAGTGACTTCTGTGCATTTGAAAACAAATAACCATAATTAATAGTAATAATTATAATATAAAATTATTACAATTATATTAAATTACATAATTGATAATAATTATTAATTGCATTATTAAAAGATAAAAATTAATATAGACTGGTGTTAGAGTAAGTTAGTTGCTGGGATGCAACCAATAAAACATTTATTATCGTAAACCAATTCATTATTCAATCAAGTCATTAAGTCATCAAGTCATTAATTAAATCAATCAATTAGTAAGTAAGTCAGTCATCAATCAACCAACCAATCATCTACTCACCACCACCACCACTACTGACCAGACCCCTTCATGGAATTATAAAAAGAATCGTCGTCAGGATATTTCTTCAACTTTGACTGCAAGTCGAACGACCTTTGACCGTAAATATCATCGTCATCCATCATGATGTCCGTGTATGACTGCCTCGGCTTGTTCCTCTGGTGGGGATTTGAAAGAAAATTAGGAAAATTAGGAACTTATAAGGTTAAGAGAATTAAAATCAATATATATACAGATACACAGAAAAGTATATTTAAGTCATACGTAAGTTTCTATTAAAGTTAGAGAATCTAAAAAACCAATTTAACAATCTAAACATTGAATAACATGTTAAGACAATGTGATCTATCATATCAACACCTCGTTAATCAATGCATTCATCTAGGATTTAATTTTCTTTAAAATTTGAGTTGGAGAATCTAGAAAACCAACTTAACATAAGTCCTTATGCACTGCTTGTATAATTAAATAAAAATAGATAATAAAAATTGTAGTATAATTAAAAAATATCATATTGTACAATTGAATTAGATTAGCATTAGGCTCGCTAGAATAATAAGTTTATTTATTTTATATTATTATAATGTTCATATCTAATGCACTATGTTACATTAGCATTGATTAAGAAATGAATTGATATTTTAATTATTATAAATAAATAATGCAATATTTCAAAATTTTTATTTAATTTTTTTCAATTATATATTTATTTATTTATTTATTTATTTTATATTATTTTATTATACATCTGCAGAAATAGAAAATTGGTAAGGAACAATTAATTGCTAACCCACACAATGCAACTTAAACTTAAATTAAAAGCTAATAATTTAATTAAATCCTTAAATTATTAATAACAAAAATAATCACAAATTTGTAAAAAAAAAATTCTAAAAAGCGTGCACGCTCCTTCGTGTCCGACGTCACGTACGTACCAAACATCGATCCAGCTGCTGCAGCTGCATGGTGGTGGTGGTGGCGGCCACGGCTGGCTCCCTAACATCGCATTTCATTAAAACTCCATCTGCCACGGCCATAATATTTTTTAACCGTCCGATAATCCAAGCGTTAGATTAGAAAATTAGGGAATTTAATTGAAATTCCGTGCGCAACTTTTCGACTCGGCTCGCACAACCATAACAAAACAAAAAAGCTTTTGTTTATTAAATTTATTTTAGTAAGTAAGACACGTAAAATTTTAAAAATGAGATAGTTAGATATTTTTTAAATTAATTTAGTTACATTCAGCATGTTAATTTTATATAATTAGATTAATTTAAAATATTTGAAATGAATTAATTTGTTTGTAAATGTTTAATTTTTACAAAATATAAAATTAATGAACAGATGCTAATAGCTTTGAATTTTTACAATTAGTTGTATCGCCAATATCGCCTGCGGGAAATTTGAAGAAAATTAAAATTAAAAATGAATGAATTCCTTTATTTTTAAGAATTATTGAATAATAATCGTTAATGGCGTATGTTTTTAGATAATTTTTGGGTGATACTAGAAGATCTAGAAGATTTGCGATTAATTTTGCATTAAAACAGTTTTCTTGTCAATCAGTAATTTTTTTTCAAAGTTCCAGGTTCAGTCTTCTGTTATTTAGAGTTTTGGTTTGTTTCATCTGTTTTAAAATAATTTAATTTAAAATAATAATTTTTTAATTAATTATTAAATAATAACTAGTTAAATTATAAAGACAATAAATAATTAAGAAATTAAAACATTAATTATTAAATTAAAAATTGGTTAATAATTTTTATTAAAAAGAAGTAAATATGTCTTGGGACTCTTCTGGAATTCTTAATGTATCAGCTAATGATACAATCAGGTCTGTCTGACATTACAGTTTTAATTTTAAAAATTTCTAAAACTAAATAAATAAATTTCTAAAACTAAAATTAAAGTAAGTTAGGCAAATGTCATGTTTCATACCCAATGCAGTTAATTATGTTTAACTTTTTTACATCTTTAAGAATAAGAAGGCAAGCGTAATTATCTGCAATGGAGAAGATACTTAACGTTTGCCATAAGTTTTATCAAACTACTAAACAAAAATTTCACAATTAATTTAGAATTTATTCATTTCATAAACATTGTTATTAGTGTGCTACTATATTCTATGATCATTTTAATTTAATGATTAGTGAATCTATTATAAATTATAATTTATAATTAATAAATTATAATTTTTCATTAAAATGCAAATTGTTCATTCATTCCCCCAGATTTGACTTTGACACAACTGATTCCGACACAAGAAAATTTGAACTGAAAACCACCATTCCTCTGCCATCTTTACCAGAGAGTGCAAATGATGATCCAGTGGCAGCAGCAGCAGCAACAAAGAATTCCAGTTTATCCTGTGCTACCAGCAAAAAATTTTTTTTGGCATCTGGGACTAACCTTTACATTTATAGTGCTGATGATAACAAGTAATAACAAGATTTGAAAGATTTTTTATTTAAAAATTTGATCCCAATTGTGGCATAAATTTCTTTTTTTTATAATATTTTATTCATATAATTATATGTAATTTATGATTTAAATAGTTTAGTAAAAGTTAATCACAATTTTCTAGCTCATTTCTGATTTCATTGATGTTAATTTGTATAAAAATACTCTAATTCATATATCATATGACATTGAATTTAATCAGGATTTTACAAACTTTGGCCCTCGACAAAGAACTAAAAGTCATTTGTTGTTGTGAAACCAAAACAGCCCCCACCAGACAACTAAACAGCAACACAAATAATAGTGACATGTATAAAGATGGAAAAAACCCAAGCGCCATCTACCATGAGTGGCTGGTCACGTTGGATTCGGCGCTGATTCTGAATGTTTATGATGTTAACACGGCATCCGGCGTATATTCGTCTAGTTTCCATGATCTTTTTAGAAACAGTTTTAACGGGGTGAAGAATTTTGCTGGGAATTTTTCTGGTATTAATGATGAAATTTCTATTATGAAACTTTATTCTATGTGAGTTTTTTTTCTTTGACTTTTTAACTCTAACTTAATAATTGATAGACTTATTAGATATTATAGTTATTTATATATTATATTATTATATATTATTTTATATATAATTATATATATATTATTAAAATTATAGTTCCAATAATTGTTATAACTGAAATTAATAATTGATAAACTTATTAAATATTATAGTTATGTATTATATTATTATATATTATGTTATTATATATTTATGTAATATTATAGTTACATAAATATTATTAAAACTATAAAACTTATATTGTCAATTTAAAAATATATTATTTTATAGTGTCATTTAAATTTCTTAATTTTATATTTATTTATTATAAGGCCTGGACACAAGCTATTTGCCCTAACTAAAAAAATTATAGTTAAAGTTATAAATGTTATGATATCTTTAAATTGACAATCCCTAAGTTCTATAATTTTAATGATGTTTATATGACTATAATATCATATATATATATTATATAATAATATAATATATATATTTATATAATTATAATTTTTAATATGTTTATCAATTATTAATTGATAATATATATTTTTAATAATTTCATTAAATTTTTTAATTTGTAAAAATAAATTTTTGTTTTCTTTTACAAAATTAGCTGTGACAGTAATGGAGATTCTATGATACTATTATTTGCAAACATTAGAGGGGAGGTCTTCATTTCTTTACCATTTGATCCATCAGTCATTCCAACTACTACTTCTACTAATAATAATAATACTACAAGTAAATATGCTAGTTTAAGTAATAATAATAATAATGCTACAAGGCCATTTATTAGTATAGCCCACTATTTTAGCATGAACATAAATTATGATAATGAGTGCATCTCGTTTGAATTGGCGGTTAATGAGGCTGCCAGTCAACTTGTGGATGTTAGTTTCATTGATGACCAGACCTGGGATGTGATTGGTCTATGGTCTGATGGGCGGGTCCTTGTCTGGTCTAAAAATAGACTTAATAATACAAATAATAATGATGATGATGACAATAAGAATAATAATAATGACAACATTGTAAATAGCTTTGTGGATGGCGCTCCAGATGAGGCTTATTGTGATGAAGGAGGTGTCATTAAAAATGTAATCAGAGATAGTGATGTTTGTGGAGAGGCTAGAGGTGAAGATGATGATGCTGGTGAGTGGGAGTACAGTTTAAGCTTCGAGTTAAACTTTGATGAATTCCACCGACGGAAACATTCATCTAGGATTCCAAAAACATCATCAGCAACTTCTACCAAAATTATGTTCACCACAGTAACTGGCACAAACGCATCAGTTGTTCATCACAACAATTCATTATTCACCATCAACCTAGAAACCATGGCTTTGGAATTTATCTGGAGCTATCCCGGTAAAAATGACGACGATGATGGCAAAGTGGAGAGAGAGGGTGATGATGCTATTAGAAGAGATGGTGAAGCAAATATGGAGGGTAGAGGTGATGATGTCATTCTTGATTTACTCCTAATTGAGAAGGAATTGGTTCTCCTTGTAGATGCAGGTCGTTGAGTTTATAGTTTAAATTATTTTATCCAAGCAAATCAAACCACCTAATAATTACTTACCTACATAGTTGAATAATTAATTAATTAATTAATTAATTAGTTAATTAATTAAATTATTGTTATTATTATTATGAAAAGAAAAATTTTAGTTTAAATTGTTTCATTCCTGCCAGTTATCTTATTAGTTACAATAATTTCTTTGTTAAACAATGATTGAGAAAACTATTTTTTCCCCTCACCAAAACAACAGGCAACAACACCATATGCATGGAAATAAGAAGCTTTCCTAGCATGAAACTAAATAGAAGAGTAAAAATCTGTGAACAGAGCACTAATCTCAGATCACTTCGGCTCCGCACTCCAAATGTCAGCTCCTCAATCATCGGCCAGCACTCACTAACTGGTTACACTAACTCAAGTCCGGGATTTCTTGGTGGTAATAATAGTAACAGCAGTCAATGCAGTGACACAATATACTGCGTAGTGGAACAGTCAACTGAATTCATCAAGATATTCTCCTTGGACCAGACAGACCTGGGGGCACAATTGTTGAAGCTCGTATCGAAGGGGTTGTTTGCTAGGGTTGAATATCTGGCTACAAAGTTCAAGCTAGATGTGAAACCAGCCTTCCAAGCTCGGCTCAGATATTGCATTGATAACTTGCATTCATCGTTTAAAAGTTGGAGTCAAGCCTTCCAGAAGAATCAGAGGAATAATTTGAAGTTAAAAAAGTATAACAAGTTGGTCAACGACCTCATCTACTGCATTCAGTTAGTTGATGTAGCCTACTGGGAGTTTAAATCCATCCTCTCCATAACATTCCTGACATTGAAAGATGCCAACAGAGTTATGACAGCCATTGAAAGCCGACTGGAATCTCGTCAGACGTCAGTAGAAAGAGACGCATCCAACAACTGCAACGATAAAAACAACGTCACAAAGTTCTCCTCTGAAGACGAATTAAAAATGATAGAACAGTTACAAGACCTCATGTACAAACTCAAGTACAAACTCGGCACATACACTGTAATATTTGAGACGTACAATCCCAAGGAATGGAATAATTACTCTAAACTGAGCGCTCCGAACATTTTCTTAATGCTCGTCAAAAAAGGCTGGTTGGGCTGTGCAGAAATTTTCATGAATCGCCACAAAGATGAGTTGATCATCGGGCGAGGTGGCCACAACGACGACTGCTGCATTAAAATTAGTGAGATACTAAGCTGCTTGCACTGTGGCATTGCTTCATCGGACGTTAAACAATTCATTGAGAATGTCATTTTCCCAGTAGCGAAATTCAGCTATGACGCCATCAGGATGCTGGCCAAGTGGATTGAAGATTATGCCAGGAAGCTTGAAGTCCTGGAGCCTGGCTATTGGCCCTATAACGCCATAGGATTGTGCAAAATTTTAGATTTTGATGATCGAGTTGATCAGAAATCAGGAAATAGTGCTGACAGCTTCGTGAAGTCTTGCGGTACTGGATTTTTAGAGGTGTCGCCAAGAGACAAGGCCGCTCAGATTTGCAGTGCTTCATTTCTCGCAAACGCACACGAAAATGATGAAGACAGCTTGGTAGCACTGCATAGGCTTTTGTGCCACCTGAAAAATGCTGAAGAAGTGACCAAAAAATTTGGCTGTCCATTGCCTCTTTCGATAGTCGAGCGTGAAAATAGCGAAACGATTGCTTTTCGGATGTTAGACAGAGTCGTTGCTGTTGAATTAGTCGAACGAGTTATTGACGACGTCATCAGGCCATACCTGCTGAGCAAGAGTCTGAATGTTGATGTCGTTCTGCTAAATTACATCAAGAACGTTTCTGAGAACGTCATCCATTACAAGAATGAAGAAAAGGTTGCCAGGATAGCAAGGTTTTTTAAGTATAGTTGTTCATGTCTCTCTATTATAATTTCCTTTCAATGAACTCATCACTTGTCTGATAATTTCAGACATATTAATGAAAAAAATGACATTTCATCTCGACAGGTGCATCGGCTCTTTTGTGAATAAATGCAAAGCACTGATCAGCCTTACAAGTTGGTGCAACGTACCATGGAGTGATAGCATCCAGGAGATGGTGGAGAACCTGGTGGCAGTTGAACATCCGCTCGTCAGGTCCATTAAAGATAGAAAGAATCAAATCAACTTGGAGTGCATTCTGAAAAAATACGGCTTCAATTTAGTTCAGTTCATCGCATGCCCTGCTGAGATCTTAAAGATTATCGTCAATAAAGATTATGCCAGTGATGGTAGTGGTGCAGGTGTTGGTGTTAATGAGGATAATTGTGGATCCAGTAGAGTAGAGAGTGCATTGTTTGATGCTATGATGTTAGCAGGCAGAGGAGCTTACCTGCTTTCCGACGTCTTTTTCCACAGACTGGTGCACTTGATTGGTAGTGGATTGTTTGAGGACGGGTTCAAGCTACTGGATGGTGTTGATGCTATGGTTGAAAAATTTCTAAAAGAATATGGAGAGGAATATTGTTAGTGTTGTCTCTACTTGGATCCTTTCCCAATTTAAAAAAAAATTCAAAATTACTTGTTATGTATCTTTAATGTATAACTAATTAATGTAGTAATTACTGATTACTATGCTATATAAGTATTAATTAAATTACTGATGTAACTTTACTCTGTTTACTTTTTTTGTCTAGATTTTTCTAAAATGAAAATTTCCTGATTCCATTTGATGGATGTTTCATGTATCATTGTTGTAATGATTACCTGCTAATATGTTACTAATACCAATATCAACTTTACTAACTACCAATACATTTTTAGTTGAATTACTTTTTACATGTAAACTTTTATTACGAGAAATTTATGAAATTTCTTTTTACACGTCTCTAATTTATTACTAATACGGTCATAGAAAGCCAAATTGTCGTTTGTTCACTTTTCTAGGAAGCATTTTCCATGATTTTTATTATTTTAATTTTGCTGTTTAACGTTTTTGAGTTAATAATTTTATCATTTTTTTTTAGAAAAAAAATGTTTTAATTGTATTTAAACAATTTCTGCATCTGTCAGAATTTATGAAGAATAAAAAAACCCATCCTATCTACGTCAGGTAAAGATATGAAGCAGGAAAACAGTATCGGAGAAAAAATCGGCGATGACGTCATCGACCTCGCTCGGTCAATCCTTTCCAACGAATCCCACTTCCGATCCGTCAAATATAATTATTCCTACTTCGCCAGCAACCTAGCCAGAGAGAGATACAATAAGTTAGCATCATCTGGCGATTGTTCTTCCCAATCTGCAAGCCTTCAATATTACAAAAACATAATTGAGTTCTTTGCATCAGGTCCAGATTCAAGTATTAAGACCATTGAGGGGGTAAATCCTAAAGAGAATACCCACATTAATAAGATTGTATGTAGTCACGAGCTAAATGCCGACGATGACTATATGAAGTTGATGGAGGAAATATGTGACCTGGTGAGGACGAATGATGGCGATCTTCCGGCTGATCACGTGATGTCACTACTTGCGAAATTAAACTCGTCCAATCGGCTTCTGCCTGATGTGTGCGTTGATAACTTAAAAGTGCACCTTAAGATTCAGAGATTATTAACTCTATTGATGAGTTTATTCAAATCTTCTTTTGACTATTCACAATTTGACGATGCGAAACTGGATGTAGAAGTTGAGAGGAGGAATTTTTTCACTGGAAATTCCAACAATTCTAATAATATCTCATCCAGAGGACTGCTATATAAATGGTCATCTGTGTCCAAGTTGCTGTACGGATTAATGACCTTGACATTGTCAGACGACAAAAATCTCCAAGGGTCAAATGTCAAATACGATAGTGACGTCGGCGAATTTGAATCGTTGTTTGATAATTTGAAAGAAGTCTTGCTGAAGAATAAGCAGGATCATCTGATTTTAGAATCCTACTTCACATTCAATTGTACATTATTAGAGTTATACAAAAATTTAATGACATCGAACTCGACAACATCTCCTTCGAGGGAGGTATCTCTCGGAAATATGACGCTAGCCCCTCTAGATGCCACTAAAAGGCGGAGCACGGTCACCCCGCAGTCCCTACCCCAGATGAGGGTAATTTCCGTTGAGAAATTAATAAACACCATTTCATCGCTGGTCGACAAAACCCTCGCCCTGCTACCAACTTCACACGCGTCATCCTCATCAATTTCGAATGGACCCCAGATGAAGGCCTGCATATCCCTCATGTCTTCTTGCTTCACTTTCGACGAAGCACTCCCGAAGTTGGCTCTCACTTACAAGATGGCGGAAAATAAATTCAAACTTCAAAGAGCCCTGGCTAATGTAACATTTTTCATTTATTACAATTTAAATATATTTTATCATTTATATCTTCGATTCAGTTGTTATTGACCGGTATGCAATTTGACCTACATTTTTTAATGATCCACTTTAACAGCTGGCGATTGGTTACACATCTCTTCAGAGGGAGGACACGTCATTCTTCATCAGGATGCAGTTGGAATCAACTTGGGCCTACGTTCTAGCCCAAAGGAGGATGAAATTAGGTTAATGTTTGTAATTCGCTTCATGCTCTCAACTGTGTTATGAATTAATTTGTTTTAACGTGTGTGTTCATTCGTTCATTCATTCACTCATGGCTGGTTGATTGGTTGATTGATTGATTGATTGATTGATTGATTGATTTATTGATTTATTGATTTATTGATTTAATTATTACTAATACATTTACTAATTTTGTTAGTGGTAAGTTGTGTAAGAACGAAGATGTTAGGTGTTGATATCTTCACATTCGCTTTAAAATCTTGAGGACAGTGCAAGTAAAGGCATGGCGACTTAGATATTTTTTAAATTTTATTTTGAATCTCCCAGACTTAACCGTTTGTTCGTCACAGCTCGAAAAATTTAGAGTAAAATATGAATAGAATATAACACCTAGATCGCCATTCCTTGCTTGGTTTAAGCATGGCATCGAACCGTAATTTTTTCGTTTCGTTTTACGGTTTTTGTTCCGAGCAAAATTTCAGTTTTTAACGGTTTTCGGTTACGATTCAGTTCCGGTTCGATGCCCTAGGTATAAGTTAATTTGTTCAAACTGGATATATTACTGAGAAATAAATGATCAAATGATCTAATCTCCAAACAGAGCATTCGAAGATGGAGAGCCTCCATGCAATGTCGATCAGTGTTCACTTTGAAAATGCCGACCTCCTGGACTTCTGCAGAGATTTCAAACTCAGCACTTCATCCGCTTATCTCTCCATCATCAATTCCATCCTGTCGTCTCCCATCATATCATCATCATCACCGTTATCGTCATCCGCTTCTTCATCTCAAAAAACACTCAATAATACTGCCAGCATTTTGCTAACAAGAGTTGAAGTATTTTGCTCGCTGTTGATTAAAGATAAAGTATTTACTGAATTACTACTACTGCTGAGTAGCCATTTGGATAAGGTGAATGGCAGACGTTACGATAGAATTCACTTTATACTTAGAATGATGCAGAATGTAGAGCAGAATGTGAGTGCTTATGAGGCAGTAGCAACCACCGACCAGCAGAACGCTTCACAGCTATCGACAGATGATAAGATAAGTTTAATAACATTCCTTCAATCGTATAAACCAATCAGTCACTTGAGAGCTGTTAATAAAGCGTCATCGGCTTCGTCGTCGTCGGCTGGAGGGCTGGGAAAAGTTCAGAAGGAAAATTGGAAACAAGTTGCCGATGACAGGCTGTCTTTCCACGATTTCTTTTCATCTCAACTCTTGAAGAAAATCATTTCCAAGGAGATATGTTATGACAATGCCCTCGGGTACGCTGCTTATCAATTTCACATTTTTACCATTTTTTTTATTATATATGGGTGGCCAGATAGCATGCTGATTTGCTGGTCTAGGGGTTAAGACATCTGTTCTTGCTATTGCTGTTTTCCCGGGTTCGATTACAAAAGATCTCTGACTATCACGTGCAATGTGTGTAATGCATGCTTTCGCACGTATCCATTTACATGCGCTGTGTGTGTGTGTGTGTGTGTGTGTGTGTGTGTGTGTGAGTTTGTTTGTGTGTGTGTGAAATTAATTGAGGGAGAAATTAATTATAATTAAAACATAATTTATAAGTAAGTTCCGTATATATCATAATTTCGCCATTTTTGTTTTTTGATATCATTGATATTATCTTTGTGTTTCAATAGATTCAATATTCCTTTTTTTTCGTCATTGTGTTACTATTTTCCTTAAATAAATAGTAATAACAATTAATACTAAATAAATAAATTAATCCATTAATTGCCGGCAGATGGTTGTCAATGTCATCATCTCTAAGATACCCGGAAGATGATATACTGATAGTGGCCATCCGGAATATCATAGAGGACGCCGTGAAGTTGGAGGAGGTGTGCGGTGGAGATGATGCCATACCAACTGAACATTTGGACCTCGTGTTCCAGCTCTGCCAGAGGGTGAACAATCTCTCTGTGGCCGTCAAGGTGCTGGCTGATCTCCTTTCTTAATTTTTTTTTTCTTTGTATATATAATTTTGAGGATGTCTCAATTATAGCGCTGTGTTCATAGTGATGTAACCAACTTTAATTTCCAATTTAAAATTTCTTGCAATGGATTACTACCGCTTAACGTATGAAAACCTCCATTCCACCAGATCATTGTATGGGTCGTGGACCAGCTGACATCAACGGCTTACTCTCAGCATCGCCTCGACCTGTACAAATTATGCAAGACCGCCTGCAAAAAATGGATCGCCATGGAAAAAACATCCCTCAACACCGTGCCAGCCAGCAGTATACCAGTAAACATGATGATCAGGTGTGAGATGGAGTGCCAGAAACTCGAGTTGGCTCAAATTCTTGAACATTGGGGTTTTGATGATTTAGCGAAAATGGTTCTATCTCCTGACAATATTCTCCTTGAAAGTGGTTTCACCGTCGATTACAATAAGACTGTAATCGGTGAGGCCTTGATTACGAAGCTTTATGAACATAAGTCTGTTCTAGAAGCCTGGGTTAGTTGGATAAGTTTGATATTAACTATTGCTAAAAAGTACTAACATCAGCCGGGTTTGTTGTGGTCAGAGGCAGATCTAGACAGCTTTCACGGGGGGTGCCAAAATTTAAAAAAAAAATATTAAACTTTGAAATTTACTGGAGACCAAGAAACTAACCAAACTTGTACTAGTGGGGCTAAGTTTAGACTAGAGACCTTTTTTGTTCATCACGTCAATTTTTGGTCGATTTTTGACTAAAAACTGAGTTTTACTAAATTTTAATTAAAAATTACTCGCCTCGACCTGTACAAATTATGCAAGACCGCCTGCAAAAAATGGATCGCCATGGAAAAAAGCATCCCTCAACACCGTGGCAACCATTCACTTCGCGTATTCACGTCCATAAATCCGTCATTGCGCGAATTTATTAACAAATAAACTACCCAGCTTAATTCACTATATCAGCGTCACATTTAAAAAAAAAATCTAGTTAAAGTGTGTATTCTGTAATACATAATGAAAACTATTCTGTCGATTCAAAGCAATGTGTATCAAAGACGTCAAGATTACCAAATTATACATTCTCATGTTCAGGAGATTGGGCACTACATGGATCCGGTAGGTAGCAAGCTATTAGCTAAATTTATATCAGCGCCACATTCCAAAAAATTGAACTATAGTAATACATAATAACTATTTGATCGATTCAAGATACTATATATCCAAAACTCTGGATTTCCATTACCAAATTATACATTTTCCTGCTCAGGATATCGAGTACTTCATGAATCTAGTAAAAAAAACTACCAGCTTAATTCACTATATAAGCGCCACATCTTCAAAAGTATTTGAATTATAGCGCATTGTTTGTGATGATAATTATTCGTGTCTAAAAATTAAAAATAAATATTCCTGTCTAAAAACTGACTTTTAATGTTTTTTAATAACACTGATCATAACGGGGGTGCCATAGTTTTTCGACACCCCCCCCCCCCCCCCTCTCTCCTAGATCCGCCACTGGCGTTTTATTTTTTGGATTGGGTTTAAATTCAAAAAGATACACGAACGTATTTGATGCAGTGATTCGCGCGTTTTCGCGTCTGACTTGTTGCCTTTAGATAATCCACTAAGAATATACTACCGCGTTACATTTGCTTCGTTGTTTGTTTGTTTTTAGTGAAATAATTCATCTCCTCACCTCTCGTCTTCTTCCTAACCAATCAAACAGCACAAATACAGATCCTTCAGTCAGGATACGTGCAAAGTACACGCAGCGGTGGAGAATCTGAATAGCTATTTCGACCTTGACATTGCAAGCCTTCGATCAACATTGGTTGACATGTGGCTGACGCCAAGCTCTCAGATCAACAATGAATTTTTAGACGTCTCCGTTATCGTTCCTGCCGGAGTGGATGATAATGATGGTGGTGGAGAGAAAAAGTTAATTCTTGTTCCATTCCTCATCATAACCATTTTTATTATTTCTTTTTTATTCTTCATTAAATTTTATTCTTCATTAAAATGGTTTGATTTTATTTTAACAGCACTTTTGGAGCGACAAAGAGTGAAGAAGATGACGCCAACAATCTTATCAGACTTATCTATCTTCTCTCTCAACTAGATACCTACCAATTGTATTCTGTTTTGGTTGATCCCTTGACCAATGACAGAACGGGATTCGCCGAAAACCGCATTAGAGCGCTTACCTGCTTCTTAAGCCTAACCAATCCCATGTCGGTGGCCGAACATCTTAAATTAAATTCGCTTGATGAGTTAATCGAATTATTAACGAATATTATATCCGTATCTAAGTTGGAATCGTTAAATGTAAAAGAATCGTTCGATTCTTTCACATCCCTAGATAAATCTTCACTAATTAGGATGCTGATAAAAAATAGCGGCGGTTGTACATTCTCGTCGCAGGAGTTCAGTAAAAGGGATGGGCTGTCGAGTTTTGCGGTGTTGTGCGCCGGTTTAATTGCATCTTATAGCATAAACGATATCGATATTTGGAAGTCCGTTCTGGGCAAGTTGATTGGGGAGAGGAGGTTTGCTGTGGTGTACATGCTTCTCGTCAACTCTGGCTGGCTGGTTATGAGGTTAGTGGTCACGAGACGGAATGATTGAAAATATATTTGGTTTTATTGGAATGATTGTGTGATTTGATCTAAAAACTAACTTGACATCAAAATAGCTCTTTTCTATGCTGTGTTAGATGGACGTTAGTGTCCAGTTGAGGTATGAAATTTTATGTTTTAGAGTCGTGCCTTCTACATATCCACATAAAATATGGCTTTACTTAACTTGAATGAATAAGGATTTGAGCAATCTTAAATGTGGTTATTCACTTTCGTAATCAACTCTTGGAAGCAAACTAGTAACTATTTATTATTAAATGATTTTATTTCCTTGCAGAAACCCTTGCAACGCCAAATATCTGAGTGAAATGATGACACAACTAATCACCACTATCATCAATACTCATCATCATCTTCGTCATCATCGTGAAAATGACGTCATTTCGTCCCTGGCCTTCAACTTGCTTCTCATATATCCAGGATCTATCGCCATGAATTGTCAGGATAGTTTGGAGGATGAGGTATCCGGTGTGGTAGCTACATTAGCCTCATCATCGTCGCCACCGACATCATCGACCTCACTTTGTTTCAGCGAATTTTTTTTCAATCTGATGGAAAAATTTTTCGACCACAAGTTTTACGAACACGCCTTTGGCTGCGCCATCCTCTGCCATTTTAAAGAAATTCACAATGTCGACGGGGAAGGAGATGATGAAAAGAACGATGAGAAGATTAGTGACGTTAACAAAGATAAAAGATCAACGCTGCTAAAGAAATCAACCTCCATAAATACTATAAATCTTGCAGTGGCCAGGGTTGAAGATACGATTAAAAGTGGAATTCCGTTTAAGTATAAAGGCACTATAGTTAGGAGTTTGAAGAAAATAAAATCCATCAATGATGCTAAAGAAGGCAGCAGCTACAACAACGATCATGATGGTGATGATAACGTCAATAACCTAGGCGATGACAATTCTAAAAGTGGCGCTTTTACAACGTCATATTGGGTGGTGACGTCATCTGCTGAAAACAAATTCGATATGAGTTGTTACTTCGCCAGAGAAGATTCGTTCCAAAGGTGCCAAAGTGCCCTAGACGAAACTATGGCCAACATAAATGCTACTATTTTGAGATATTAAGTTGATGTCGATGTGTTGTGTGTGTGTGTGTGTGTGTGTGTGTGTGTGTGTGTGTGTGTGTGTGTGTGTGTGTGTGTGTGTGTGTGTGTGTGTGTGTGTGTGTGTGTGTGAAAGAGAGATAGGAGATAGTAATCAGTAATGTACATGTATATAATGTTAATATTGTTTACATTTTTGTTGCTGGGTATTCCAATTTACTTGTGACACCGCTTAAATTGCTTAAGACGGCTGTGACAAAATGCCTTTTATTATAAATTTGTTCATTTAATTGTGGAATGACAATTTTTTAAATGTGCTAGGCTAGAGTGTTCTGACGTTTTTTCGGTTGTTTCAGCGTTTGGATTGATTAGTACAGGCCTCGTTTGCCTGTGTAAAAGATTGTCTAACTTGATGTCTTTCTATATTGAAATAAGCGTTCGGCATTGGCGAGCAATGAAATAAAACCTATGGAAACAGCTGAGTTCTGAGATGAAGCAGTAGTTGGAATCTTTTTCATAATCTTAGGGCCCGTGTATATATTTATATACATATATAGAGTAAATAAATATTCTTTTTATGATGTATGGGTCTGTCTATTTTATTTTATATAAATTAGAATTGTGTTCACTGTTCACCGTATGTGTGGAATAAAACTTCACTTAATCAATAATAATCGTTGTCGTATTTGTTGTTTTTGGTATTGGTAACTGCGGTCCTGTCTTTCGTTTTTTCTCCAGAATAATTCTTTTTTCCGATTTTCACGCTTAATTATATTAATTATTTGAAGTATTTAATTGTGGCTTAATATTTTTTTATTTGTATCAAGAAAAATTTGTTGTTTTTTTTTCTAAAACCCGAATCCTGTGTAAAGGTAAGAGGCATTGGCATGATTTATTTCATATTTTTATTATCGTGTGCTCTATTTTTGCGCAAAAGTTGAAAAAATAATGAATAAATTAATAAAATAGTTGAATAAGTTGGTGAATATAGATGAATTGTTAATGGTGCTTTATTAATTCTTACGTAATGGTGGATTTAATGCCGTTTTTAAAGTTTCCAACATGTATGTTTCAGTTTCTCTCAGCACAAATTCAATTTTGGCTTTCTTGAAAAACAAAGTAATTTAATTTAATTCAAAATCTAATTTTATAACATAAGATGGTAAGAGTGGGCTACATTTTATTTCAATCCTTAGCTTTTTAACTTCACTTTTCTATATTTTTTATTTTTCTATTTCTGAAATATTTTAATTATTAAATATCTACAGGATTTTTTATAATTATTATGTTGAATTGACATTGTTTTCTTTTAATTTGAAATGTGGCCTATTCTATAGGAGGCTGTTTAAATCTAATATAAAATATATCAAAATTAATGTAGTTTACCTTAAATATTAAAATACTGATATGTTGTGTTTATATATTTCATAATTTATATTGCCATTTGGAGTTATTTGTGTGTGAACTTTTTAGAAGCCAGTAATGTTTTCTTATGTTTTTTTTCTGAAATTTAAATTTAATGAAAGTTAAATTCAAATTAAACAAAGATGTCTGCAGTGGATTTACCTGAAATAAGCAATGCAACAGCTACACCGTTGTCGATGGAGACTGAACCAGTTGAATCGTCGCCCCGCCCTCCGTCGTCATCTTCTGCTGCAGCTGTGGCATTAGAGGAAGAGGAAGGTTCCACTTCACCTTTACCTAATTGCTCGTCTGCCAACAGAAGTACCAATGTCACCCCTAAACTACCTCGATATCAGTATTCTAGGGTAAGAGTAACACTTCTAGGGTACTTATGTTAATGTCCTATGACTCGGTCTTTTTTTTGCCCCCTTATATTCATCCGTTTCATTCAGTCATTTTCATAAATTTACATCACCTTTTTTATGTTTTAATTTTATTTTCATTATATGTCTTTTTTTAGGAAATTTTATTTTCATTATATGTCTTTTTTTAGGAAATGTTACTCATGCTGAAAGAAAACAGGTCTTCTCGTCTGAAACCAGCTTGTCTACATAAAGATTACGAGTCGTAAGTACTGGAACTTGTCTGTTTGAATGGATGGATGGATGGAGAGGGGGGCGAGGGGAGATCAAGAAATAGTTTCAAATTATTTGTGAATGCAGTGACAGGTCAAAATGACTTTTACAGGGGAGGAATTTCTATAATACTTATAAACGTTTGAACATATGGAGTATGCATTACTCTGACAACATTATATCATATTTATCACCAAAAATGCTACTTCTTGATGATAGCATTCACTTTTACTGACTTTTGATAAAAACACTGCATCCCGGCTCTGTAAGATCAGCCACCATGTGAATTGGTGAACTTAATTTATGAAATATTAAATACTAGGTTACTAAAATTCTTTAAAAAAATGCTCATACTTTTGGGATTTCAGATCCGAAGGTGTATGGGACCCGGAGAGATGGTTCAACAGCAATGCATCTTCATCGGCGGCCGATCCGCAGTCCCTTCATCAATCTTCATCCTCATCGTCGCTTCATTCCTACCACCACCATCCGTACAGTATGGGGGACAGAATTTACGTGCCGAGAGGACGTCGGGGCGATTGGGATGGGGATGATTATGGAGGATCTGGATTAGGGACGGGTAGCAGTTATAGTAATGGTGTCAGAAGAGGTGCCAAAATAGGTAAGGACAAATAACTTTTTCCAGTTTTGCTTTTATGGTTTTCATCTTATTTCCCAAATGCTTGTTCTTACCATCAATCTGCAAGGCCCTTGATATTCTACATAGATTGCTATGATTCAGATTTTTTAAAAGTGTTGGGAGGTCTCGCTCAGCTAAAAAAAATCCCAATTAAAGTAAGCATAGGGGAATTTGCTTGGAGTCTAACGCTGTCTAGCTTACCGCAAAGCTGTTGGAAGATAGCTATGGTTAACTGACTGAGCCTGTTGAGAGGAGTTAGGAGAGGATTAGTTCTACCTCGGGAAACCGGGTCTCTGGACGCAAAAAAAAAGATTGATTGATTGATTAGTATGTAATTAATATAAAGATAAGAGTGAGTAGGTAGAACCAGGTCTAATGCACGATAGTTATGTAGTGATGTCAATTCAAATAAACTTTTAATGAAAACAATTCAATTTCGCAATAATTTAGAATATCTTCTTACATGCCTAGGTTTTTATGTAATAATGATAATATAATATTATATTACATTGACACGTCTTACATTTACATGTATTACGTTTACATGTATTACATTAACGTGTATTACGTTTACATGTATTACATTAACTTTTGTATTTAATAATTTAATTACATGTTGGTTTTCGTTTCGTTACGTTAGGTTCGTCGGATGGTGTCGTCCTCATGCCGCAGAGAAATTTCAACAGTGGTTGCTACGTCAATAACAACACCAATGATGCCGGAAGGAATAGAGATGGGTGCGTGGGCTTTGTATTCTTCTGTTGTGTTGTAGTACCGTCTTGTGTTGTTGTATTGTATTGTATTGTTGTATTTTATTGTCGTAATGCATTGTTCCTTCTATTGTTTTGTATCCTTGTATTGTATTTTTGTTTTTCATTTGAATTTGATGCATTGTTATCTTCTATTGTTTTGTATCCTTGTATTGTATTTTTGTTTTTCATTTGAAATGTCCTCAGGAGAGACCAGAGATTGTTGCAGCGTTCGACGGTAGGTAGTGGTAGGATTTCAGTTGTTGACCGGTTCAAAGGTCGTGGCGAGGAGGTCTCAGAAAATTGGACCGATAGGCCGCCCCTTTCGTCTTATAACAATAGCAGGGGAAGAGGGGTTGGTGTTTTTCTTTCTTCATTGGTTTGAATTGTTGATTGGGTGAATGAGTGATTGATTCATTGGGTGAATGATTGATTGATTGATTGATTTATTTATTGATTGATTGATGGAATGATTGGGTGAGTGAATGATTGAAGGAATGATTGGAGGATTGATTGGGTGAAGGAATGATTGATGGGTTTTATTCATTTGATTTTTTGTTTATTTTAACTCTCCAGAAAATGATGGATAGAAGATATGACCCAATGTGTTAGTAGATTTTTTCTACATTTTGTTTCTTATCTATTTTATTTCGTATATATTTTATTTCATGTATATTTTTATTTATATTATTATTTATATTTTTATTATTCGTATATATTTTATTTCATGTATATTTTTTACCAGTTTGTTTTTTAATAAACTTTACAGCGATCAGACTTTTTGATAACTACTTTACCATTCATACACATATATACACATTCCAATGTTTTTAGATTAATAATAATAATAATGTTATTTTATATAGCGCCATGGCAAGCGACTGAGGTGCATTATCATTATTACAACAAGCACACGGTGCATGAATGCACGTGAATCAATGTATCGCACACTTTTGCATATGATGATGGGCGGGGATCTTTTTGCAATCGAACCCGGACACTGCGTCAACAATGCCAAGCACCTTAGCCATTACACCATCGCGCCGCCCGTGTATGCTATTAGATGCTAATGTATATGTTACGAATGTATATACCGGTTTGTTTCACATGAATATACTCTCTCTATTTCTCTCTCTCCAACAGCATCTCGCCTGGATTACGGAAACAACAGTATTAATCGACAGCAGCAACCGCCATCATCGTACTCCTTTTCTTCATCTTCCCTCTCGCTATCCTCATCCAATCGTCGACCCTACCACCCAACGTCTCAGCCGGAGTGGTTCAGCGACGGTCCCGTCAGCCAGTCGGATACGATAGAACTGCACGGATTCGAGGTGGAGCATGGCTCTTCCTTCGATGAGGAGAGCTGTGACAGGCCATCCTCCTCCTCTACCTACAGAGGAACTTACGCCAACTCCACTAACAACTCGACGGCAACTAGCACCACCACCACTACTTCTACTACCATTACTAACAACAAAGTAAATTCTCTACATCTCAGCCATGAAAATAGCTGCAATGTGGCTAGGAAAAATGATTCAAAGACAGCCGCAGTGACTACTGCAGCAGCAGCAGTAGCAGCAAAAGGCCGACAGCCAATAGCAGATAGGTTTAAAGTGAATGAGGGCAATGACAAGAAGGGCAGCGAGGATTTTGGAGAGTGTGACGGAGATGGTGTCGCTGGAGTTAAGGGTGTCTATTGCAAGGATGGAAAGAATCTTGACGATGCTAGTGGTAATAGTAATGATGATGGTGGTGGTGGTGGTGGCGGCGTTGGTGGCGACAGCGGTGAGGACAGTTCTTCCCATGGTGGTCATAAAACTAATGCTTCAGATTGTTATGCTCCAAGTGTGAAGTCTAATGATGGAACCTCCCATCATCAGTGGCAACAACTACATCATCAGGAATGAATGGAGAATTTGATTTTGATGCCTTTTTCAAATCTGTTAATATTCTTCCTGTATGTCGTTCAACCATTTATCTTGTTAATTTTATTTGTGTACGTGTGTGTGCGTGCGTGTGTGTGTGTGTATAGATATGAGTGTTTGTGTGTGTTTATGTTTTATTGATTGTATATTTTAATGATTGTGACTGCTCATAGACACAAACTTGTACATGATATCACCCTGCACAGGATTTTGAGCAAGAGCCCCCGCCATCAGCCAGCAGTCGATTCAAAGCCTTCTTTTCCAACAACAATAACGAAGCTACGTCGCTAGCTGCAACGTCATCGTCTGCTTCCAATCAACAGCATTCGGTCGGCAGCCACTCAACAACGACCACAACAACTGGCGTCGCCAGCGGTGTCCATGCAGCCGATGCCACCGCTAACGTATATCAACGTTGTCGTGCTAGCCCGGCCGGTGCATCCTCTCATCTTCTTCCTCCTCCCCCGCCAGTCTACGGCCACTCCATAGAATGCTCCATCGACCCGGACGAGGAGAAGAAGAATTTTATGAATATCCTACAGAAGGCCCAGCTCCTGCCTCCTCCTTCTCATCATCCTCCTCCTCGTCTTCCTCTTCTTCCTCCTCATCCTCTCCCTTCTTCCCTCCTTCCACCAACGTCATCAGCTGCTTCGTTTCATCATAGCACCACGTCCACATCTTCATCAATGCCTTTGCAGCAGTACTTTGCACAGCAACAACATCTCCAGCACCAGCGACAGCACCAACAACCACCGAGAACTCTTCTGAAGGACCTGGAAAGTGACCTCAAGGCCATATTGAAGGTCAATTCAAGGCCATCCTCTCAGAGTGAAGGTTGTTATTATTCGTCCGTGTTATTTATAATGTAGATGACAATGGTGGTGATTACAACAACGATGTAATATTAATGTAACTGTTTTGTATTGCTGTAGGTGGGTTGCACAAATTTTGCTGGTAGCCTCAGTTTGAAGCATAATAGCATGCAATGATGTGAGAAAAGCATAATATAGACACTGCAAGTGTGGCTAAATGAGTGTAGATTGCAGATGTAAACATGCACACACACTTGTATATATATATATTCTCCTTCAATCTACACACTTGGCATTCGTACAATTTTACAATTTCTTTACTTACAAGCATCGCGTGTTGGCAGCAGGCTCTTAAACTCGCGCAATTCATTTTAACCATGTGGAAAGGTGTACAAGCGAAACGGAAGCACTGCAACACGTTCAAACAAACAAACAAAAAAGCCTGTGCACATGGAAAGATTAACAACAGTCGTCCATTCAATGCAGTGCAGTGGCACAAAATGTACACTTGAGTTGTATACGTCTTTGGATGCGTGTATCTTGTGTGGGTGTGTATGGTGTGTGTGGGAGAGAGAGAGAAAGATAGAGAGAGAGAGAGAGAGAGAGAGAGAGAGAGAGAGAGAGAGAGAGCGAGCATGGCAAAGACACGCNGTTCTTATATACACTTACGTTCCAGCCCTGCTACTTATACAAAAATAAATATTTACAGACCCTCTATACGGGCCGATAGTGGCCGCGAAAGCACTGCCGATGGGCTCCAAGATCACCAGGGTCACTGACCTCGAGAATAGGATTGGTAGTGCCGCTGGTGGTGGTGGCGCCGCTGGTGGTGGTGGCGCCGCTGGTGGTGGTGCTTCTTCTGCAGCCGCCGCTAATAACGGTGTCGTCAGTGGCGAAAATGTAATCGGTGGTAGTGGTTTAATTGTCGTCGATGGTGGCCCAGATGCGTCGGCTAGCGAGGATAGGAGGAGGAATGTCGTTAACTGCAGTGGTGGTGGTGGTGGTGGTGGTGGTGGTGGTGGTAATGGTACTGATAATAGTGGTGATGCTGGTGGTAACAGTGGTTGCAATAATAGTGTGGGTGATGATGGCCGGGAAGTTGTGGAGAGGGAGCGGTGTGAGAGGGGAAGGGAGGATGAACTGACTGCCTTCAAGAAACTA